CCGGAGCCCAGCAGGTCGAGGCTGCGATGGCCGGGAGCGGCCACTGCACTCCAGTCTGGGCAACAGAGTGAGACTCCAACCCAAAAAAGAAACCAAACGATTGTTTCTCAGCTTCTGGAAAACACTCTCTGCCGGACTCACCTCCCACCTCCTGGCTCCTCCTCTCAAGCTCCAGCTCTGCGATCTCACTCAGCAGGGTGATGCCGTGCAGGAAGCTCTGCTCCAGGGCCAGGCTCGGAGCCGCCTCCAGTTTCTCCGAGGCCGGGGCCCCCGCGCCCGGGGAGGGCAGAGGCCTGGCCTGGGGCAGCTCCGCGGCCGCTGCCAGGGCGTTCATGCCGGCCAGAGGGTCCTCCAGGCCAGGCAGGAACTGGTCGGAGCCCGCCTCGTCCAGGTAGCAGGGGTCGCCGGGCACGGGTGTGGCCTCCTGGGGCTCCAGGCTTGAGCACTGGCCCTCGGCGGGGGGCACCTCACAGTCAGACAACTCCAGGCTGGGCCGGGGCTCGCTCGGGGCCGCCTGGGCTAGGCCCTCCTCGGGCACCACCTCTGCCACGGGCACCTCCACGGGCTCCTCCTTGGCCTCCACCAGCGCCTCGGGCGTCGGCCGCCCCCCAAGGTCCAGGACGGCCACGCACGGTTCTGTCCGGCCCGGTGAGTCCTCCCGCGCCTCGGCCCCCTCCACAAAGTCTGGGCACTCGGGGGGCTCCGTGCACCCCTGCCCGGGGGCACCCAGCGCCTGGGCCTCCAGCAGGGCTTCTCCGCAGCTGCCGGCAGGGCTGGGGGCAGCCATGGCTTCCACCGCAGGCAGGGCCCGGGGCGACTCCAGGGGCGGCAGCTCTGCGGGGCCCTCGTCCATGTCCTCCACCTCCGCCTTCACCTCCCGCTCGGCCAGCGGCTCCTCCTCTGGGCCTTCCTGCAGCGGCTCGGGCATCTTGGAGGGGGACAGGCGGAGGGGCTTGTCCTCGGGGGAGAGCGCCAGGCGCTCGGGCCCATCCGCCGGGAGCGGCACGTCGGGGGCCAGACCGTCAGCGTCGGCAGCCGCCGCGGGCTGCAGCAGGAACGGGTAGGACCTCCCGTAGTGTGGTGGCAGGGCTTGGAACGGGTACCTGGGTGGGATGTCTGCCAAGGACACGGGGGTCAGTGTGGGGGCCCCAGGGGCGAATACCCCCACGTCCCCACCGGCACCTGCTGGCCACCCACGACAGACACCCTCTGCCTGACCAGCGGCAGGGCCGGGACCTTCCCAGCGGGATCTGAGAAGGCCCAGGGCCCGTCTGCCTGCCTGGGCCATGCAGAGAACATCAGCCACCATCTTGGCCCCAGGTTTGTGTGGTCTCTCTCTCTCCACCCACATCCAAGTACCCAGCACAAGGCTGGGCCACAAACAAATGCTCGATGAGGTCTACAAAGAAATGACCTTAGCCGGGCTTGGTGGCTCAGTCTGTAATCCCAGTCTTTGGGAGGCCGAGGCGAGTGGACCGCCTGAGCCAGCGGGTTCGAGACCCTCTCGGGCAACTTGGTGAGCCCTCGTCTTTACAATAAATCAAAAATCAGCCAGACGTGGGAGTGTGCGCCCGTAGTTCTGGCTACTCGGAAGGCTGAGGCGGAAGGATCGCTGGGGCCCAGCAGGTCGACGCTGCGGTGGCTGGGAGCGGCCACTGCACTCCAGTCTGAGCAACAGAGTGAGACTCCAACTCAAGAAAAAAGGAAAGGCGGAAGGATCACCGGAGCCCAGCAGGTCGAGGCTGCAGTGGCCGGGAGCGTGCTGCTGCACTCCAGCCTAGACGACAGAGTGAGACCCCAACTCAAAAAAAAAGGAAAACTGAGGGTGACACGGGGCTCTGTCCCGAGTGTCCTCTCCCAGAAAGCAAGGGCTGTGTACAGCCAACTCCGCCCCTTTCCTAGAGCCCTCACAGAGCCAGGTGGGCCATGAGTCTCGAGAGAACCCCAGAGAAGGGTACAGCACCCCCGCAGCCAGGCTCGGGCTTGGCCACTGGCACGAGCCTCGGGCCAAGTCTCCCCAGAGAGGGGCAGTCACTGGCTGAGCTCACACAGCACTGTGCCGGGATCCGAGCAGGAACCCGAGTCCTCCCAGGTGCGAGTTCACACTCCTCACAGGCCCCGGGGAGGCAGGGTGCAAGTCCCAGCCACCAGAGCCACCTGCCGCAGGTCCCCGCTGACACGGGGCACGGCAAGAGCCCACAGGACCGCAGCACCTGGGGTGGGGGGATCGCTGCCCAGGGTGGGCGTCTCTGCGCTGTCAGTACTAAGCTGAGCACCCAGTGCCAACTGTGTGCTGAGTACCTCGCAGGGCTGGCCCAGCTTCACGCTCAGAACGCCCCGGCTCAACCATGGCACCCACTTCCCCGGCCACGACGCTGAGGAGGGCCTGGGAAGAGGCTGCATCTTGGACAAGCGAGTCCGGTGCTCGCTTCTGCATCCATTCCGGGATCGGGCCTGGGCCCGGTATGCAGCAGGTGCTCAGCAGAGACAGAACGAGTGGACGAGCGAGCACGCGAACGACCAGCGTGAGGCGGGGCTGGCGTCCTACCTGAGAACAGGGCCTGGAAGGGGCTGGGGGCTTCCTTCTCCAGCTCCAGGTCCTTCTTCTCCACCACGTTCTCGGGCGCCTCCTCCTTGCGGGTGAGGCCGGGCGTGGGTGGGGGTGAGGCGGGCGGCGGGCTGCTGGGGTGGGAGCTGGGGGTGGCGGGGTAGGCGTACGCGGGCGGCTTGACCACGTCCTCCAGCTTCTGGATGACCTTGGCCTTCAAGGCCGCCACGGGGGATGCACGGGGAGACAGCGGCGGGCTCACAGCCTTGCCGTAGCTGCCTGTGGGCCCGGGGGGCTTCCGGGACAGCAGCCCGGGGCCCGCCGCGGTCAGGCTGGCCTTGCTCGCGGCCTCCAGGCCCCGCTTGCCCACTTTCTCCTCCAGCTCCACCCGGTGCTCTTGGGCCTTCAGGCGCTCCTGCTGGAGACCGGCCGGAGGGCGGGGTCAGGGTGGCAGGAGCCGCCCCCGGCCCCGCCCCGGCCCGGGGGCCCCAGCCCAGGGAGAACCCCAGTTGGGCCCAGGTCCAGGCCGCCGGCCCCTTCCCGTCCTGCTGTGCGTGTCACAGGGGTGGCATTCCCCACAGAACTGCGGGGGGGCGGGGGACACCCCTGCGGGTCCCCTTGGACCAGGGCCGATGGGAGACCTCCATCCCCCCACAGGGACCCTCACGGTCGGGGATGGGTGGCCTATGGAGCCATGAGGCCCCTGAAGAGGAAGGGGCCGCCCCAGCCTCTTGACGGCATTAGGGTAGCTGCCTTCACGGGGTGCTCACTCCCTGACAAGCACTTGACTGCATTGTCCGTGCTGGGTCTCAAAGCCCTCCGAAGGGGACAGGAGGAGCCTGGATGAGGAACTGGGAGGCCACTGGCTCCGTGACAGCCAAAGCCGCAAGACCAGGCAGTCAGTATGCCCAGCACTGGGAGACTAGCATCTGTTTCTTGGAGGCGTAAACTTGAAGCCCAGAGAGGTGAAGGCACTTGCCCAAGGGCACACAGCCAGGCCCAGCAGGGCTAAGATTCAGACCCGGGGCTCAGAACTAAGAGCGGCTGCGAGAGCCGCCTGGGCTGTCCTCTCCAGAGCGGCCACTGCACGAGGGAAGTGGCAAGGCCAAGCAAGGGACATCCCAGAACACCTTCGAGGAGGCAGGAGGACTGTGGGCTTTCAGAATCCAGCCACACGTGGGGAACCCTCCTGTCCCCCATCTTATGGGACCAGGCAACTCGGGCAATGCCAGCCAGACCTCCTCCTAGAAGGCAGGGCCGGGCTGGGTTTGGGCCACATTGGGAGCCCACCTGGACCCCTTCGGAGTCCAATCCAAACTCCCCCAGACCACAGGCTTCCTCTCTGCTTTGGCTTCCCCAGGGCTCCCCACACCCCGTCAGGCTCCATCCACCCCGGGGCCTCTGCGCGCTGTTCTCTCTGCCTGGGGGGCTCCTCATGGCTGACTCCTTTGGGTCTCTGTTCCAGCGCGGCCTCCTCCAGGAAGCCCCCGTGACCACCCGCCCACCCCTCTGCCACTTTTTCCCCAAGCCCGGAACCGGAGCTTCTACGGGTCGGCCTGTCCACCTCGTCCTCCCCGACTCACCACCAG